AATCCATAGCTTCCTGGAGCTCTCTCTGAGAGGACATGAACTTTTGGTGTTGGTCCTAAAGGGGAACACGTTACCATGGCAACAGAGGAACCTCCCCTACTTACCAGTGAGCTTATAAGAGAATCCAATTCATTTTGTGAGGAATCAAGCTGATTCTAACGGAGGAAAAAAACAAATAAACTAATACAGCATAGCACCCTTTAATGAGGACATTTTGTAATGTCCCAATTGGTACAAGCCTATACAAAAGTACCTCTGAAATGAGGACACCTCTGTATTAAGGACAGGTAGTGTGGGCCCAAAGTCCCAAACATTCTCTTACTTTTAACGATTCTCTCCTCTCCCTAGCGGAACCGGGTGTGGTCTTCCCTTGATCTGACCCCACCCCTTCCCCAGTAGTGGGTGTGGTCTCCTCCTCCTCCTCCTGGCGGTGCATGTCTGACATTTGTTGTAGAGATTGCTTCAGTTCATGAGATTTAGCGACTTTCTGTAACAGGAGAAGAGTCTGACTGATCTCGTTCTGTGAGTGGGTGAGTTCTCGCTCCTCCTCTATCGTCTGTACAGCTAGTGGGTGTGGTTTCTTTCCTTTGTGAGGCAGAGGGCTCCTGCAGTGTAGCGGTGAGGACTCCTTTGATGCTGTTTCCTCAAGAATGGTTTCAAGAGAGCTCATCCTGTCAGGAGGTAACTATGGAAACAAAGGGAAAGAAATACAACAAGGACAATCATTGTATAATGCTACTGTACTGTAAAATTCAGTCATTTCTTTTCTAAATTAAATAGTAAGTCATTTGGTACAAAATGTTTAGCTGAAATCAAACAAGCTCAAACTCGAGTATACATGTACAGGTGCTTGACTCACTGGTAGGTGTCCCTCCTCATCGTCCGATATGAATTGGGTTAAGTATGACTCTAGAGTACTCAGATCCTCCAATAGGACACTGACTCTAGGAGAAGCACCAGCTGGGGTATCATCCTATGGAGAAAAGAGATTATTATTATTATTATTATTGTTATTATTATTGTTATTATTATTGTTGTTATTACATTGTTGCCAGTTAGTCCACCAGCAGCTGCTAATTCATTCAGCTCTTGTAGGAGCAGCTGTATCTTATCAGCACTTCTCTCCTAAAGAACAACAACACAGCACGTAGACATAAGACATAATTAAAATAAACAAATTCTTTACATTAAACTATCATACAATACATGTAGCTACATGTAGTTATATCAATGCTAGCATGAGCACATGCAGACCTCATGCTGCATTCCAACAGTCACTGGTGAATGAATGAATGAATAGGATGTGATAAACAACCAACAATGGACTTCACTCTCTCTCTCTCTCTCTCTCTCCCTCTCCCCCTCTCCTTCCCCCCTCTCTCTCTCTCTCTCCTTCTCTCTCCCTTTCTATCCCAGCAAAAGGGATATACATTAAGGTTTTCAAAGATAAGAGCAGCCGCACTAAAGATACTAGTAGAGGCAGTCACAGTCCCCAGCTGGTTGATAATGGAAACCATAGGAATAGTTACTATCATATCACAAAACATACCAGCAGTAGAGGAAAAGGTCACGCTACAAGATGTGTATTGTAAGATAAAGAAGATACTATGGAGCATGAGGGAGGCACATGTCAACCAGGAAAACACGCTTGTATAATGTTTGATTGGCTAATAGTCATAATGATAATGGAAGACACAATAAAGACAGGAAACTCTCACTCTCCCTCTCTCTCTCTCCGTCTCTCTCTCTGTCCCTCTCTCTCTCTTGATCTAATGTCATGGTGTTATTGATGTGGTGTTGGCTTGAACAGTTTCTGGTCAATGGATAGATGTGTACACCCTCAACCACTCATCACACAAGCAGATCCACATGTACATGTACACTCACTATTGGCTGTAAGAATATCAATATGGGGCCATTCAAGGGAAAAATAAAGTAAAATGGAGTTAATTTTATATCAGTGATTTATTCATGGACTCTTAATCATTAATATTAATTCCTCAACAATTTTATAAAATATATGTATATGTACATGTAGTATGTCTGTTTGTATTTCTAAAGGAGAGATTGAGTTACTATATTAAGTTACCTGTGGTTGTGTTTCAGTTTGACTGATCTTCAGGAGGTCTTGTATTAATGATGAAATAGTCTGGCCCTCATCACTACAATAATAATAATAATAATAATAATAATTAATAATGATGATGATGATGATGATGATGATGATGATAATGATAGCAAAATTATTTATTATAATATAACTAATATGTGGTTTGGCCGGGTTTTATCTTGGCAAATTGACATTGAAGATTGTAAACAAAAAACTAACATTTCATTATTACCATATTATACATGTACATGTACATACATTAATTTATTGTACTACCTAAAAACCAACAATATATACATGTACTATGATTGTACATGTACACATTCTCTTACATTTCATCCGGAGATGGTGATCGTGATTTATATTCCTTGCTCCTTAAGTTTCCTTTCATCTCCAGAGGCTCGTCTCCATTCTGATTGGTCGGTCCAGAGCTGTCATTGACTGGTGTGAGAGGGAACAGGTAACAAAATGGCTTCCATGTTTTGAGGATTGATAGCTTGTTCTCAGCATATTGGAACACATAACAAACTTTAATCCACAAAGACCTGAGAAATAGAAATAGTAAAATGTTGCTGTACTAGCACAATCTTTCTCTCTCTCTTTCTCTCCAATCCGCCATTGGTTTACCTAGCTATACTTGCTGCCAGTCTAAACGGGAAGAGACAGATGGAGAGGATTAGTCTGAGAAGAGATGACAAGAGAGAGAAGAGGGCCCGGACCGGCCACGTTATAATATCAAAGAGTATCATAATATCCAACAGAAAGGACTGGAGCTATGGGTCAAGGAGAGTACCAACACACCAAACAAAGAAAGAGATAGAGAGGGAGGGATGAAGGGAAGTAAGTTATTGTTTTCCTTCCTGTAGATCTACTAAATATTATTAATTAAACACGTGGGCTGTTATGAAAATGATAATGATGGGAGGGGTTGAGTGATGGGAAGGGCTGAGTTATTGGCCAAATTTCACCAAAAATGATAAGTCTCCATTTTTATAATTTTTCTGATACATATAGCTTGCATGTACTTATGTTGTGTAGAAAGTTTGAGCTGAGCCCAATTAAAATTAGATTTTTATGAATTTTTTAAGTTGCTCAAAAATTGCGGGACAAAAGTCCCTCAGGCTAAAAATTAAAAAGTGAGAATTCTCTATTTTTATATTTTTTCCTAATACTTATGCATCCTTTTATGTTGTGTCAACAGTTTGAGCTGTTTTCTATGCAATTACATTTTTAATAAATTTTAAAGTTGTCCTGCACACTATGATAGATAGTATTAGGTTTTAGTTCCTCAATGTTGTTTATGTGGGACTTGTTCAGGCTCACTCCAATAAAATAAATTTTAAAAACTATTATTATTTGCAGCAAGTATATAAAGTATATAATTATATTATAGTACTTATCAAATAGCAATTTTATTGGCAGGTTTTAAAAATAAGTCGATTTTCAACATCTTGATATAATGGGGAAGATTGGCAGGTTTCTGCATCTTTATTATCCAAAACAAGAGTAATTAAGTGCTTATTCTTCGTGAGGGCTTCCAGCAACCTCAGTACACCATCTGGACTAATATTTGTATTCCATACAGAAAGGTAAGTAAGAGGTGTGTTGGCTTCAATTAGCTTTACAAGAGAATTAGCAGATCTAATGCTTGGGTTCCCATAAAGAGATAAAAAAGTAAGGTGTTGACTGCTTTCTATTGACTCTTGAAGTACCTCAAGTCCACCATCAGTGATGGAGTCATTAGTTACTATAAGCCGTCGTAATGA